CACTTGGTCACCAGAACTCCCTACGTAATGACAGTTGCTGTGTACTAATGATCAAGTCAGAACCGACTCATAGCTGACCCTCAGCGGGTTTCCAGAGGCAGCACTCTCACGGGAGGAGATGGCCCGTCCTTCTCCCATGGAGCAGCTGAGGGATCTGAACCGTATGCCTTCAGGACTGCAGCGTAGATTCTTATCACTAGGCCATCAGAGCTCCCTAACGACATAATGACAGCAGGGGGCAGTAAACTGTCAGCAAACCAGAAATAATAACACTTTAAAAAATACACAATAGTACATTTTAAGCCCAGCTACAATGGATCTGGAGCCAGGTGAACAATCATGCCATAGTTTTACACCTTCAATAATCTCTATTAGTCTGTCTCTCCATCTATAAAAATGGAAGGAGAGAAAAAGTATAGGTATATATCACACTGTTATGTGCACTAAACAAAAATGCACTTGAAGCCCGTAGTGACAGACATAGCTCAGAGTTAAGGCCTCAAAAATTCTACTTGATATTGTCATTATCACTACTGTCGTTACCTTATTGGGCAACTCTTTTGACATACACTGTGTAATGCTACAGCATGAGAAAGCACTGGCTCCAAGGAAGGTATATTCAAAAGACAGAGGAGAAATTATGTTTTATTATTTCCGTCTTCAATATGCTGTACTTAAAGGAACCACAAATTAATAACTCTATGCTACAGCTGCTTTGACATCAGTGGATGTAAATATTTCTTACCAAGTTACGTTTTTTTAGTGGAAGAAAATAATAATAGTGGCAGAAAGAAAACATCAGTGCGTAGCAAGTAAGAAGTTCTGTGTAGAAACACAATTGCAGAAAAAGCCAATGATTATCTTCACCAACACAATTATTAATCCTAAAGGGAAAAATGGAAAAATAAACAATAGTGTCATCATTAATAAGATATCAATTTCAGAATTGGTAAGCTATGAAACTAAAAGCAAACACAAGCAACTTTATTTACGTTCAACTAAATACAGATATGCTGTAGTCCCTCACACCTAAAAGCAACAGCATATAGTAAAGGGGAGTCCATGTCTATGACCCCTCTTTACAGCACCCCAGTGAGATAGCAAGAACAGTCTCCTTGTTTCATTCCTATGAAAACAGAAGGAAGTAAGCCAATTGTCAGAAGATGAACAGAGAAAACAGTGACAAGCAAATAAGAGCTTTCTCTGGTACACTGCTCTTTCTTGATGCTTACTTGTGGTGAGAACAATTTGAAAAAATAAAACAATAGAACTTAAACTTGCCATTCCAACATAAGTCTTAAGCATTTGTAATATTTCTTATGCTTAAAATTTATCCTTGACTGGTTGCTGAAACATCAAAAATAAAATATATTTGAAACTAATTAGAAATACTTAAAAGCTACACATCTATCAATATCACTGATTAACCTGAAAAAGGGGGAAGATTTAACGGTTAAATACTCTCCAAAGCTGGAAATATTTAGGCTAAGAATTTTATTGCATAAAATTATTTTACTTAAAAGTTTCAAAATATTTAAATATTCTAGCAAAAAAACCCTAGCTCAAAACTAGAAATTACTTTGTAATTCTTTCATTTCATTTCAAAACAGTTGTCCTCGTTTGAATAAAAAAAAAAACCCAAAAAAAACCCACCCTTGAAAATGATGTAACTCCTAATGCAGTAGTTCCTAAATTAAATCACTGTGCTGACATGTGCTGTGAAATTCCTTTGAAAAGTCTAATGTCGACCTGAAACTTCACTGAGTCACTTCTTGGAGTTAAGAACTCATGCTTTGTAAGCAAGAAAATGCACATTGTGCTTTATCTGCAAAGTGGGTTCTCAGAGGAGTGTGTTACCATCACACACAAAGTGCTGGGTACCGCAGCTGTTGCCTGAAAAAGGAAATTACCATCATCTGTCTTGTCCTTCCTGTCCCCCAGATGTCCGAGAAATAACCACTAAGGTCACAGCTCTCTTCTTTTCTTTTTTTTTTAAATTGTATTATTTTTACGTGTACCATCAAATCAGATCCGACTGGTACAGGAGGAGATTGCCTCCTCCTTCTCCAGCAGAGCACC